CAGCAGGGCCGCCCCAGCCAGGGTGCCCATCAAGACTGCTGGCAGGGCCTTCAGGAATGTGCTGCGTCTCATGCGGCCTCCAGTTGCGCCTGCGCGAGCTCGCGCGCCGCGCGGTAATCGCCCTTGCCGCTGTCGGCGCGGGGCAGTTGCTCCACCACCAGGAAGTGCTTGGGCACCTTATAGCCTGCGAGGTAAGGCGCCAGGCCCGTACGCAACGCCTGGGCATTCGCAGGCATTCCACCTGTATCGAGCAGAGCGACGATGGCATTGCCCCAGCGTTCGTCGGGCACGCCCACCACCAGCACATCCCGCACGCCCGACAGCCGCTTGAGGGCTTCCTCGACTTCCTCCACGTAGATCTTCTCGCCGCCGGAGTTGATGACCAGGCTGCCGCGCCCGAGCAGTTGCATGGAGCCGTCGGGATGGCGCCGCACGCGGTCACCCGGCACGGCGTAGCGCCGGCTGTCGATGGTACGGAACACTTCCGCGGTCTTGCGAGGGTCCCCGAAGTAGCCTTCGGGCAATGGTTCACCCCGGGCGAGCCAGCCTTCGCCCTCCTGGCCTGCCGGCACGATGCGCCCGTCATCGCCCACCATGACGGTGTGCGGACCCGGCTCGAACCGGCCCGTGGGCGTGGCCTTGTCCCGGGTGGTGATGGCGTAGCCCAGGCCCGCGGCCTCGGACGCGCCGTAGATGTCGGCCAGCACCACGGAGGGAAGGTGGCGCAGCAAGCCTGCCTTGATTTCCTCGCTCCACATCAGGCCCGCGGAGCTGATGACCTTAAGCGCAGAGAGGTCGTAGCGGCCGGGCTTCTCGTCCAGTGCCGCTAGCATGGGTCGCGCGAACACATCGCCGACGATCAGCACACGGGTCGCGCGACCACGCTCCGCCAGTTGCCACAGCTCGTGCGGATCAAAGCTGCGGTGCGCGAGCAGCAAGGCCGTGCCGCCATTGAGCAGCTCGGCCAGCGTGCTGCTGATGCCTGCGCCGTGCATCAGCGGGCATGCGGGCAGCACACGGCCGGGCGCAGTGTTGGCTTCGACCATGTCCAGGTGCTCTGGCAGGCTGGCAGGGCGCCGCTGCACCAGGGGGGATTCCAGTTGGCATGCCCGGTAGTGGTTGCCCGGCCAGATCACGCCCTTGGGCCGGCCCGTGGTACCGCCCGTGTAAAGCAGCAGCGGGTCCCGCTCGTCGCGCGCGATGTCCAGCGGGCTGGCATCGCCTTGCACCGCCCAGGCCTGAAAGCTCGCAGTGGCCTCACTACCCAGGCTTTCTCCGTCCAGGCAGATACGTGAGCGCAGTGCCGGCAAGCGCGTGGTCAGCTCGGCCACCAGCGGGGCGAACTCTTGCTGGTAGAGCAAGGCCGTGGCACCAGCGTCTTCCAGAACGCCTGCGACCTCATCCACCGTGTACCGGTAGTTGAGGTTCACATGGATCAAGCGCGACTTGAGGCAGGCCACAAAGCCCTCGATGTAGCCGGGATGGTTCCTCAACAGGAACCCCACCCTTTCGCCAGCGCCGTGCCCGGCGGCGATCAGGGCACGCGCAACGCGGTTGCTGCGTGCGTCGAGTTCGCCCCAGCTCACCACCTTGTCTCCTTGCACGATGGCAGGTCGGTCTGCGGGAACACGCGCAGCCACACCATCGAAGATGTCGGCCAGGTTCCAGCGGGATGCGGCCGGTTCGCTCATGCCATCTGCTCCTGTTTTACGTTGGAAGCAACGTCTTGCGACACTGCGGCGGGCACTGCGTCCGACAGCGCGATGAAGCGATCGCGCTGGAAGTCGGCGTTTCCGTAGGCGGTGTCGATCATGGCCAGGCGCTTGAGGTATTGGCTCACGGCCAGTTCATCGCTGGTTCCCACGCCACCGTGCAATTGCACCGCCTGGTAGCCCACGTACAGGCCGCACTGGCCGATTCGCGCCTTGGCAGCGGCGATGGACCTCCTGCGCTGGGCAGGCGGGGCGTCCAGGCCGTCCAGCGCCAGCTGCAGCATCGAGCGGGACTCTTCGCAAGCAATGCTCATGTCGACCATGCGGTGCTGCAGCGCCTGGAAGCTGCCTATGGTCGTGCCGAACTGCTTGCGCACCTTGAGGTAGTCGAGCGTCATTTCGCTGACCGCATCCATCGCGCCGCAGGCCTCGGCCAGGCGTGCTGCGATCGCATGGTCCACCGCGTACTCCAGTAGCGCCAGGCCCTCATGCAGGGGCCCCAGCAGCGCCGATTCGGGAACGTTCAGTCCATCCATCTGCAGCTGGCTGATGTGCTGGTGATCAGGGCTGCGAAAGTCGGTGCGCCGCAGCCCGGGCGAATCAGCCGGAACCAGGAACAGGGAGATGCTCGACGCATCCCCTTCCGAGCCGCGGGTGCGGGCGGGCACGATGAGCCAGTGTGCCGTGCTGGCATCGGGCACCCAGGACTTCTCGCCGCTCAGCCGAAAGCCCGTCCCCGAGG